ATTTGAACGCAAGACACTCGTTACGGCCTCTAAAAAAAAAAAGATATGGTTTTCTGTCGCGTAGCGAGCGGATAGAAAGTGTAGCTTTGAAAGGTTTCACATGAGTTGTGTTCGAGGGCTCTCAGACTGACTGTAGCATTATGTCACAACATTGTTGTGTTGGTGTGGGAGTGCTGCTGTGAACACACAGAAGATGACATGCATACCTGGATGACCGGGTCAAGAATGATAGTCAGGTATTCACCGTATTTGGTGTGTCATCTACAACTCTTTCAGGACTTCCTGTCACACAGACGGGCGTCTGTTAGTTTTTTTCGTCACCTTTGTTCAATAGTATAGAAAGGTTCCTGCTTTCCTGCTGCTGTTAGTCCCGCCTCCTTATCTGAGATTATTAGAGTACCTGTGGAACATCTCTTCTGGAGATGAAGACACATTATTAACTGCTGATGAAATATAGAGGAATGCGTTTTGGGCGGTTGACTACAAATCACATGTACTTTACTTTACTGACATTTCAACAACTCAACCACCTCAACACCGGGTTTTTCCGGTTGTACTTCTGTGATTGCGATATCTGAGGAACGCATTGTCTTCAAATTCGGCACAAATGTCCGCTCGAGCAAACAGAAGTTGGCGGTCAAAAGTCACTGTGACCTCACAAAACAAGTTTTCGTCCATAACTCGGTAATTAATATGCTAATTATGACAATTAAAAAAGTCTAAGTGATGACACTTTTGACAGACTTGGATGTAAAACTGCCACTTGACTGGTTGGGGAGGCGTAACACCGCGAGGCAGTGATTCTAGTTTTGTCCTTTTGAACAGCTGTTCCTGCCTGAGGGCTGCAGGAATGAGTCCTAAATCTAGGAAGATATTCAGCATCTTTGCATTCTGGTCCCCTTGTCTCAAAGTTAATATTTTTATGAGTTAACACCAGCTTTAGAGATTTAAACATTTTGTTCTACGTCATAAAACCCAAATTTGAATTTGAATATATGAAGTTTTCACTGTTGCTAACGAGTGTCTAAATGAGACGACTTAATGTCCTCACTAGAGCACTAGTCCTTATTTAGCTTAGTGGTGTTGATGTGAAGACATGTGACCGTGGCGTCGTTCGTTCATAGCCTAATGTTAGCTTTTTACTTCTGGCATTCACCATTCAAAAATCATAAAAGTGGTGTTCGTGTTTGATTATCTTGCTAAACAAAACGTGAAAATATAATTCAAGTTTGTTTGCTTATTTTCTGCAACAATCCAATGGAAAAATCCTTTGGGGTTTTGTGGAGGGAAAAACATCCCGTCATTCCTCGGTTGGTGACTGGTCAGCTCCGAGCAGCTGACGGCAGCACCCTGCGGTTCTGCTGCGTCATCTTTCTCTTCAGGAGCAGAAGTTCAAGTGTCTTATCAGTCGGCCATGTTTGTGTCAGTAATGAGTTTCTGTCGTCAGCCGGTTGTCAAGGCCGCTCAACGGCCGACATTGGTTCTGTTGAAAGCACACGCGCAGGTGAACAGGTGACCTATGACATGTTTCCCCTCTTAAAAACACATGACTGGATCCGCTCAATAGCACTTCAGGGAGCAGCCACTGAAGCAGCGGGACAGAGTGACGACGGGGAGAGAAGTGGAGCGGTGACGGGCAGAATCAGCAGAAATCCTGCTGGGGGCTGGTTGATTGTTGTCCCCTCGTTCTCCAACTCTCATCTTCGCTGGTCAATTAGTTTTCTTTAATCCCTCTGTATCAAATACATGAAAGCAGGCTTTCTTTAAAATCAACAGACTAACGTAGACTGACTGCAATAGCTCAAGTTAAGTCAAAATTGTCTTGAAGTGACCGATAGTGTAAAGTCATTTTGATTGTGGTTATGTTTCATTTGTGTTTATTCGGAGTGGTGTCATATACAGGGTGTAGTTGTTTGAGATTTCTTCTTAACCGCCCAGTTGTTTGTCCAGACAATTTAATATTTCTTGTCATAGTAATTAAATATAAACAGCTTTCAAAAACTGTTTTGTCCCAGTGCATGTTTGCCTGTGGAGCAGGTTGGACATTCTACATTGTTCAACTCCCAGGCTGAAGGCGAGTTCAAGTGACAACTTAACAGCACAAAGAAATTCCTAACAAAGATATGTGTGTCAGTATATTATGTATTTATACTTCTTTTGCACTGTAAATACAAAAGTGTGGGTAAATGTTTTGCACATAGACTCAACTATATAAACTCGTCTCCACTTCTTCCCGCTGTATGAAAGTGAAGCCAAAATATCTTGATTACAAAAGCTGCCATCTTGAGATTTTGGAGTTGGTGTGCATGGTAGTGATGGTGGTGGTGGGGGGGGGGGGCTGAAGTGCTGCAGTATCGAGGCCCCGCCCCCTCACGAGCCGAGCATGGCCTCAGCTTGTTGGCGTCAAAGCCGCCTAGCTGCCACGTTAGCAGAACAGTAGCTGTTTGACAACTAACCGTAATATCTATAGAACTACGTTTCTGGTTACATTTAAAGATGTTCTATTGCTTGAAGTTTTAACATTCATGGTAAGTTAAAGTAACATCTGTCACACCTTTTACAAATATCAGATTAAAACCAAATTTAGAAAAATACATTATGTAAGTAAACTGACGAAGAAGATCTCTGGGAAAAACTGATTTGACGTGGACCGACCAGGGATTTTTTTTTTTTTTGTATGGAAGTCCCATCCGCTGACATGGAGGGGGCGGGACTTATGACCTATACTGCAGGTGGCCACGTCGAGACGTTATCGGCTTCACTCCGCCCAGTTTTTTCCCCTCTACATACAGTCTCTGGTGTTTCACCACAGGGGTGATGGGCATTCACTGAACAGAGCAGCACTGGGTGACCTTGGCTGCTGTTTTCAACAAAGTTTTATCTCCGCCACACTGCTGACACGGTCTGATAACAACTAAAACAACAGCTTCCATTAACACGTGCCTCATTAACCTGCAGTGCTGCACGATATGAAGGGAAACGATATGTGGGAGTCAATGTCAGACGGAAGTATTTGTTTTGTTTGGACAATGGTGTTTGAGTTGTGAAGCAGCATGAATGCAAAGAAGATTCATTTATTAAATTAAAATGTAAAATTACCCACTTTTTTTATTCAGCGAATTAAGACTATTGTACAGTTAATATTAAATAAGGTTGAGACAGAATGGATGAAAGCGTAGTTGTTGCGCAGATGTCAACATGGCCGCTGTCACATTGCACATTGTTGACCTGCTCTGACTCAATACTTCCAGGAAGTGAAAGTGATTTTTTTTTTTTTTATCTTACAGGGAACTTTTTTGTAGAAATGACAGAATATCACATGCTTGTTGTTGCCGACTACAGCTCAACAGACATTTGTAGAGACAGTCGGATACAAAGCACGAGTCATGTGGGGGGAGGGCATGAATAGGGAGGGACATGAAGGTAAACAAAAAGAGGGAAGGTGGGGCTCCCCACTCATGGATAGTAGAGCAGGAACCCCTCAGGAGACACCGCTGACCCTTAACCTTTCATTTCCTGTCTGAAGCAGCACATAGCTCCCAGCTGTGTGTGAGTGCAGCTGATCCACCACACTCCTGACGCATGACTGCAGCTTCTCACTCACTCACACACACACACACACACACACACACACACACAGTCTGCGAAAAAACTCTTTCAGAGAAAAAGTCCTTTAAAGAGATGTTTAGTTCAATTAGACATTTAGAAGACTCTACAGGTGAATAGGGTAAATAAATTAACTCATAGATATCACCATGAAACTTCACCAGGTCATTACTGACATTAAGACAAATATTTTTTACATTACAAGTTTTCTAAAATTAGATGTTTAAATATGCAAATGAGGCATCATCTAATGGTAACTTTTGGTGAAATCTACAGACACAAAAACACAAAGTAAGAAAATAAACGCCTGAATGTGTATTGTGGATGTTTACTTTCCACTAGTCAGAAAGAAAAACATGTTATGGAAGCAAAATCTTCAAATTGACCAGTGCATGAAAAACCGATGTTTTTGACTGAGTGTATGAGTGTCGCATTAAAGATTCACAGCTGCTAACAAACATATTATTAAAGCAGGAAAGACGGACTTGATCTCCAGCAGGGCTACATGTGTCTGAAATGGCAGCGTTATGAGACGTGTGACAGGAGAGCAGCTGCTAAACACATTCAGTTTTTTATTAATAGAAAGACTCATCTGGATCTCACAGGTTCCCTTCACCAGATTCAAAACACGACGCTGTGGTGCCTGAACATGATTAACAAAAGCACACGAGCCTGAACGTGGAAAAACAAGACGTTACAGAAATCTGCAGCTCATTTATGACATATTTTAAGACTGTTGCTTTTCAAAACAACATACTTTTTGCTCCGTAAATAAAGACTCAACTAATCACAAGTCAGAACCAAGACGGTAAACTGTATTACACCTTTTAATTCTTACCTTTCACAATAAAAGCCCAAGACATAACCCCTGTGTGTAAAGGCCTTTATCTTAACCTCAACCACACCCATCCCTTCTCCTAACCCTAACATAACCAACAACCGTAGGATCGCTTTTTTTTCCACAAATGGGGTCACGACTTTGGTCCCCAATTGAACAAGCGGTCCCCATAACTGGTCTTTAGTCTGAAAAGCTAGGAACACACACTCTACATGGAGAACCTCTTTCCGCTTTTCTTTCTGAAGTTACTGAGTAATGAGTGAATGATCGATGATGTGTGAAAACTGTGAAAAGACCTTGAAGAACTTCATATCCTGTATCTTATCCTGAGCATTGACGAATGGAGCTTTAAGGGAAACGTAGTTAACAAACATCCTCCACGGAATTATCAGTTTTTTAATTGATTATATTTTTTTTCTTGTACATCTATCAAGTGTGTGAAGTTTAATTATTCTCCGATCACCACCAAACCATGATTCTAAATCATTTGGAATGCTGTGGAAGCAGAATATGTACGGCTGACTGGCTCTTACTAAAATGTTAAACTTTCTTTCAGAAAACTACCAGGTTAGCGGCTCAGATGGAAAGACCGAGTCTGTGACGAACCTTCAGCCGCAGCCGTCCCTCAACTCGCTGCAGTCCAGCTCTCCTGGACCCAAACGCTCCGGAAACACACTGAGAAAGTGGCTGACCAGTCCGGTCCGCCGGCTCAGCCACGGCAGCTCCGTCAAGAAACTCCCCAACAAACAGAAGAAGACTGGTGAGACGACAAACCATCAAATCCACAGGAGGGCTTTGGGCATGATAACGTATCACTGATAGGTTCTAATAGATCTGTAGAAAGCAAAATGTATTTGTATTGAATCTGTCAAATTCAACTTCAGGCTGCTCAAAACTCCCTTGATTTCTTGAATCCTCAAATCCAATAATGCCAGAGTGCATCCTCGTTAAGATATCTTTTTGATGGAATGAACTGCTTGATTGACAGGACCGGGAACAGGAAGAGAGGAAAGCAGGAAGAGTGTTGACCTGGGACAGCCTGACCTTAACCAGCAGGATGACATAATCAACGAGGTAAGCCGTGAGATTCAAGGAGAGCATGTTTCAAGTTAGATTTCAGAGTCAGACGCCTTTCAGGCGTTTTTTTTGCCGTCTTACCCGGAGTCAGATTTTCTCTGACAGGAAAATATGAACAACCTAAAATGATAGCATTCCTTAAATTTGCTGATTGGTTGTAAATCTTATTTTTCCTTACTTTTTGTTTTCCAGCACTTTGATAATATTTCTAGCACCAGACCATAACTGGTCATTGCATTTCTGATGCTGTTTAACGTCCGTCTGCATCAGTAGTGTTTGCAGGCAACGCAGGGAAACAAGCCTGTATGGTCAAATATTATCAGATATGAAACACCGAGCATGCAGATCTTATGTCTCACTCAAGAAATACGTTAAATATACGATAACATATGTGAATATACCAAATGTAAATGGTCAAAACAGCATTAATTAGACCTGTTGCCATGCAGAAAAGATATGCATTACCATATCTGTTTTATGGTTGGTTATCTGCTCCTACTGTATATACGAAGCCTCTGTAGTTAAAAGGTAATATATCTGCTCCTCCTCACCAGGGGTGTAGGTAGAGATTTATTACATTTACGTAACAGACTATAAACCGCTAAAGTTTTCTTCCTCTCTGACGCACGCATACACACGCAAACTTATGATCAAACAAATTACTCGCTGATTACTCAAAACTTCTGGACTTCTTTTTATGATTGATGTTGCTGTTGTAAAAGCAAATCCCTGCAATATAAATTTTTATTCATGTCCATGTTCTTTATGATTATATTACAAATTCATGAAACCATATTGAAACTCTTAAAAATATAGAATACAAAACTTGGCAGTTAATTGCAAGCGATGCTGTTTTTTCTTAGTTTCTAAAAAAACTCTTTGGCCAACAAAAGTGATGTAAACACAGTTAAATCGGTTAACACAGTTAAAGAAACGTATCTAAGACGGGACAGAAGAAGAAAAGTGTGTTCAACAGATCAATTCATAGTCGAAGCTGGTTTTCGTTTGTGCGACAGCGTGAGTTACTCATGAAAGAACTGCTCTTCACACAATATCCCTTCGCAGTTCAGAATCAGGAGATGCAGCTTGACGTTCTGCCACTTAAAGGGACAGTTTGGATGTTTTGAAGTGTGGTTGTATGAGGTACTTCTCCACAGTCCGTGTATTACTACAGTAGAGAACAGTAATGTACTGCTGTGGACGTATTGTAGACTCTTCAAAAAATCTGTTAATGTTATATTAAGAATATTTTCACAGCTTCAACCTTGTTGTCAGACAGCCAGAGCAATTAGCATAAACGGTAGTTTTACCTCGCACAACACAGGAAATGCTGGTGAACCGCTGCCGTGATCGGTTAGTTGGTGAGTCCGAACTGACACCGAAGTTAAAACAAAGATAGATATACGGCTTTAAGTTCCTCCTCGGAAAAAGGGTCATCTGAAGGCAAGCTCAAGCGGTAAAAACATACCTAATAAGAAATATAACGTACCCTTAAACCGATATTGATTTTCTAGGTGTCTAAAATAGGGAAATCTGTCCTTTTCTTTGCTACCGTGCTGCTGCTACTCCAAACTATCCCTTCATTCTGTGTCAATTGAACAAGTTTTAACAAGAGTTTTATTCTAACAATCAACTAACTCATCGAGTCTGACCAGAACCATGAGGATTCAGTCATCTGTGATTCATCACCACTTACCCAAACAACTTAAAATACAGCAAGACTCAGCATCGTCATGCTCCGTTACTCATTCAAGTGTCTCCAGAGGAAGTTTGACGTTTCCAAAAGCAGCTTTTCCAAGTTTGTTGAATAAGCGAGTTTGTCTGATGACGTCATGGAGACCTTTTCAATCACTTATCCTGCTCGTGATGAATGATGCATGTTTGAAATGGACAATTGTGGGGAAAAAAAGAAGCGATTCATTTTATTTTTTATTTTTTATTTATTTATTTTTTTTTTTTAACTGACTCTCAACTCTGTCTGTGTGACCCTACAGAGAGTCCACAGTAAGGACGGGAACTTCCTCTCTAAGACCTCTGGGATGCAGAGCGGCGGGGAGGAGGAGCAGGACGAGGAGCCCCACACCCCTCTGCCTCCCCCCATGGAGATCATCAAGGACCCCTCGGCTCAGGACGACAAGGTGAGAAGGGGGGGTGGAGGTTCTCCTGATGTTGATCATAATGACGGACTAATGACTTGATGGCCTCTGCTTTAAATATCTTCGTCTACCCACTAACTGCCAAACCTCCTGCAGCTTTTGCTTTGATAAGCTTACTGATTAACATACATGTTGTGTGCTTTGATATTAATTTGACTTCTCATTGGGTATAAATCCTGCAGTGTGTCCACCTGCTTTTCTGTCTTAGTCTGTTTTTTATTTCCTTTTTGTTCTCTTGCTTTAACTCCTTTCTCTCTTCCACCTCCTGCCTTCTCTCCTTCGGTTCTAATCTTTCTAACACGCCGTTTGCTTTTGATCCTCCTCTTCCTCTCTCAAGCCTTCATCCTTGCTAACGTCTCTGCAGTCGTCCTCTGAGGTGCCCAGCGCTGCAGAGCTGGTTAGCGCCATAGAAAAACTGGTTAAAACCAAGATGGTGAGTGTGTATGATTGTGTGCATGCATTGGTCATACACACGTGCACTTTAAAAATATATATTTTACAAATATATTTTCTTTATAATGAGCACCGGTTGTCTTCACAATGAGTGCACAACACCACCTGCCATCTCCATGAACCTTAAATATCATTTATGGATCCTTTTGTGTTTATTTTACCAAATGAAACACAATAGTGAATGTGTGTAGTGCCAACCCATGAATGCACAGTAGAGTGGGTCGATGTGAATGTGTTGTAATTAGGAAAAGCAGGAGTTGTAGTTTGTTTTTCTTAAATCAACACAGGTTGTTCTCTATAGCCACTAAAGACCAGGCTCCTGCTGCAGAAGACCAGGCTCCTGCTGCCCTCTGCTGTCATGAAACCATCTCATTATTCTGATGTTACCTGGAGTTATTGCTTATTGGGCGTCTTAAAGATTGAGGGTGTTGAATGTTGTTCATATTGTAAAGCGCTCTGAGACAAATCAATAATCCTGGTCCAAACCAATGAATTAGACTTGATAGAGGATCATTTCTGTGCTTTCCTGAATCTGACTAATAATTGTGAAAATGATTTAATCCACCTCTAAACGCTGACCTCCTCTCTTCAGACTCTGGAACCAGGAGCGTACCCCGGCTTCTCCCCTCTCACTCCGCCAGAGCAGACAACTCCCGTCCAGCCACGGAACCCTGAACTGGAGCAGAGAGCCAAAGCAATGAGAGGACGGATGTGAGTACTGTAGAGTATCATCACGACTGCTGCTGCCATTAGTTTTACTGCTACAACTGGTTCTATTTCAAGAACTACTTCTTCCATAGAAGGGAATAGGTTCTACCCAGAACCATTTGCTTCTGAAGAACCCTTTTTGGAACCGAGGCTTTTTCAAGGGTTCTTTGTAAGACTAAGAGTTTCGTGAAGAACCCTTTTTGGAAGGAGTTCTTCAAGGATTGTTGAAAGCATGGGTGTGAAAAGATCGTCGCAGACCCCCCCACCCCACCCCCAAAAATTTGACTGTGGTTGGGAACCAAGATTGTTGTGCGTTACGCTGCACCACATCGGTCCCACCCTTTAGGATCATTATGAGGAAACCGGGTTGGGTTCTAGATGAAACCCTTGGAATATAAAAGGGTACGGTGGAAATGTTCTGGATAGAACCTCCAGAGAGGGTTTTGGGTGGAATAGCATTACTTCACAGAGGGGTTCTCTGTAGAACCTCTCATAGGTAGTTCTGGACCACAGATGGTCAATACTTTATGCTGGATTCTTGGTAGAACCCTCTGAAAGGGTTGCAGATGAAACCTTTATAAATAGTTCTACCAATGGGGACAAGCCGAAGAACCTTATGTGGCTCTGGTTAGCATCATCATTTCTAAGAGCGTACTATTTCTTTTAACGCCACAAGTCCTTGTTGACGGTGATGATGCTTCCTCAGCTGATTTCACTGTTTGTTCTGCACAGGTTTGTCCTCAACGAGCTGATTCAGACAGAGAAGGACTACGTCAAAAACCTGGGCATCGTGGTGGAGGTGAGACATCTGTGATTTTCTGAGCCTGATCATCTTGTGGTTGTCTTTCTCATTGTTTATCTCAGCATCTACTCTAATTGACTCTTCAAGTCCCGCTCTTCAAATGCAGTCTGGCCAATCATAGCGTAGCATCGTCCAGCTCCGACCTGTGTCCAACAGCTATCCATCTCTGCTCCATAGATGCTCATGCAATCTTTTCAGATGTTCTTATTTTTCAGGCTGGTTTTGTGGTTTTAGAGCTCGTCATGGTTAAACGTTTTGTAATAGATACTCGGAGAGGTTAGGAGATACATGTTTCTATGTAAAAAAACCTGTGGAGCTAACATTAGCAGAGTACGTTAGCTCATCATTGACTAGCGTTGGCACTTGTATACTACACTAGCTACTGAGGATATACTGATTGTATTTTAATGGCGGTGAATAAAGACCTACCCGACTTTGTCGTAATCGTTTTTTACATTTTTCCCCAAAACTTGATAGAATTTATGCAATCAGTGTACTTAGTGACAGTGTGGGCTCCATGGTAGCTCTGACAGCGTAGAAGCAGGGGGTGTGGCTTATCAGCGGGTCATTTGGTAAGTTTATGATCTGTACAGAAACTCTGAATGTAATTTTGATATGAAAAAGGCCAATAATACCACAATGTGCAAGTAGTCCCTCGGCACAACAGTCCCAGCTAGATGTAAAATATTTCAAGTTGTCATCACTAGCTGAGCGGAGCATCCTCAACATGCTGACCCTCTTTGACCCTGCAGTGCTTCATGAAAAAGATCAAGGAGAGAGGCGTCCCTGACGACATGGAAGGAAAGGACAAAATCGTCTTTGGGAACATCCACCAGATCTACGACTGGCACAAAGAGTGAGTTTAACGTCGGTGTCCAAAGAGACCCACAGAGGGGTCAGTCATCCTGTTTGTAACATCCCTCTTCTGTCTCTGTCAGCTTCTTCGTCGGAGAGCTGGAGAAATGTCTGGAAGACCATGAACACCTTCCTGAGCTCTTTATCAAACATGTGAGTTGGAGCACTGTGCGGTGATGAGGATGACTTTGTGCTATTAAAAGGTATTTGACCCAGATGATCTGCTGTCTGACAAAAATGTGTTCTTGTTACAGGAGAGAAGACTCCACATGTATGTGGTTTATTGTCAGAATAAGCCAAAGTCAGAGTTCATCGTAGCAGAATATGACACCTATTTTGAAGTAAGTGATATTTTGGCTCTTTATGTTCCTGTGGTATTAGTTGTGTTCTGTTTGTTTTTTGGAAAAACAACAAAAGTTTGAAATTGAAATGACTCCCAACTCTACAAGCGTATTATCATATTGTTTCTGTTGCCGTTTTATTGCATTGAAGTTGTTGTTTTAGCCGCTGTATTTGATATTTAACTGACCAAATATATGAAGAGAAACACAAAGAAGTGTTTTGAAGCTGTTGGTGTTTTGTCTTCCAGGGAATCCAGCAGGACACCCAGTCCAGGTTGACCATCAGCGACTTCCTCATCAAACCCATCCAGAGAATCACCAAATACCAGCTGTTGCTGAAGGTATCAGGCGCACAATTTCCCTGATTGAATTATAAAATTCTTTTATTTTGAATCATTTAGTTTAAGGAACAAAATAGTTCTTTATTAATCCCAGCAGTGAATTGTACCGTTTCAGCAGCTAAGCAGAAAAGACAGACAAAGATAATGTGCAAAAAAGTAGACAATTCTTGTCAATATACAATACTTATCAACAGTAACTCTAAATAAATGAGAAGATGGGATTATTCCTGTACATAAGTATATACTTGTGGGAGGTGGACATAGTTCATATTGTAACTTTATAGTGCAGTTATGGCTCGGATCATTTAAATAAAGATTTAGAGACATGGTGTGTCACCTCTCCAAAATGAGGAAACTGATCATTGATTCGAGTGAAATAATTGAAGGGATTTCAAACTGATCTAACCATGCTGGTTGTTAGTAGGCTCCTGAAGAAACTACTCTGTAAATATATCTATTGATTGTTATTGTGTGTTAAGTGTCCTCTCACATAGAACCTGTTTTAAATGAAAGCAATCCGACGCATCCTGTGTGACGGTCAGGGCGCAGTGATGTATTGAAACTGCAATGAGCTGAATTCACAGTGTTAAAGTAGCGGTCATGTTTCTCCTCCTCAGGACTTCCTGAAGTACAGCTCCAAGGCAGGCATCGACTGCGAACAAATTGAGGTAAAATGACATGCGTTTACAGCCCTGTCTGAATCCAGGACTTATGTAGATTTTATTTTGTTTGTGTTTGCATGTTGATGGTCTGTAAAGGCTCCCAGTTGTTGTCCAACCTAAGAGAGGGACACACTCCTGAAATGAGCACACAACACATGATTTAAATCACTCTCTCTGGCTCCTACAGAAAGCAGTAGATTTGATGTCTCAGGTCCCTAAACTGTGTAACGACATGATGAATTTGGGTCGGCTGCAGGGATACGAGGTATGTTCACTTCCTGTTCTGCTGATTAATAGCAGGTTTGCATTCAGCTCAGTACACCCTCCACCTGTTCATGAGCTTTGGATTATTTGCGTTGACTGATCCATTTTCTCTGCAGGGTAAACTGACCAGTCAGGGTAAACTGCTGCAGCAGGAGACCTTCTTTGTAACCGAGCAGGACACCGGCGTCCTGTCGCGCTCCAAAGAACGACGAGTCTTCCTCTTTGAGCAGATCGTCATCTTCAGTGAGCTGCTGAGGAAAGGATCGTCCACGCCCGGATACCAGTTCAAGAAGAGCATCAAGGTACGCAGAGGATGGGGTTCACTAAATTCACTTGTTGAGTTAGTAAATCGCATGTGCAGCCAATCAAAAACTGAGTAGCTCTAGTAGCTCTACGGCCTGTGGTGTGAAGCTGTATATGAGCCCGGTGGTGCAGGATCTGATGCTGAAAATAAATCTGGAAGACTAATTAAACATCCGAATTGTTTAGACGGAAAAAACGGAAGACATGAACTCGTTAATTTTGATTTGTGTGAACTAAGCTTTGAGCTTGCCCTCTCACCACCTCCTCCCGCACAGTTATCCTACCTGGGTCTGGAGGAGAGCGCGGACAACGATCCCTGTAAGTTCGTCTTGTCGTGTCGCGGCTCGTCGGAGCGTTTCACCCTGCAGGCCGCCAACGTCGACATCAAGCAGGTCTGGGTCCGACACATCCAGGACGTCCTGGATGCTCAGAGCAACTTCCTGTCTGGTGAGAACGCACAAACACGCACACAAACACTTACAATATTCTCCTCTGAAGCATGACGTCCCCCAACGATGTTGACAAAGTCGCTGCCGGTCAGACTACTGTGTAACATGGTGATGTTCCACTCAGCTCAGTCAAACACTGTCACTGTCTTTGCTTTCCAAAGTTAATCTTTGTACTTTTATGCTCTAAAAAAATGGCAATACAATGGTAGCAGTTCTTGGCGTACTTGGTCAGCAGTAAAGTTGGTGTATAATGGTATAATGGGCTAAAATGTGCAAAAACTTTGTGGGACTTTAACTATACACAACAAACATGATCCAAAACCCTAGTTCCCATCCAGAGGAGGAAAAACGATAAAACACCTGGAGTCGGCAAACCTGAAATGACCCCATGAGAGAGGAATATAATTGTTTCATCTGTGTGTGATTGCAGCTCTCCAGTCTCCCATCGAGTACCAGAAGGAGAAGGGCGGAGCAGGCAGCAGCTCCTCGCTGACCAGAAACTGCTCGTCCCCGGGGAACCGGCCCTCCGTGACGTCTCACAGCCGCCCATCCTCGGCGGTCGGGCTCGGCGACAAGGAGGCGGAGCGAGGGAGGACCCAGATGAGGGTGTCTACCTCCAACGGCGGGTCGGCATGTTTCGAGGCCAGGGTGAGTTCCTGTGAACAGCCTGGAAACACGTGTTGGAGGGCGGGAAGTGGCTTGTTGGCTTTCAGTTTGTTCTTAGTATATTTGTGATTTACAGTCTGGATGATGTTTCATGATTATCAGCAATTTCAGAAAAGGCCGAGATCCTCAGGGTCTAGTTTTAAACACACAGCTCCTTTTCATTTTCGACTCTTATTGTTTAGACCAAGCCCTTAACCGAAGACTGCAGCAGACAGCTGGTCAACTAGGGCATGAAGCACGCTTTGCTGCCTTCATTCTGTCTGCTCAGCTACCTGTTCCCTAAAAGCCAAGGTTAAAATCTGGGCTACTGCAGGTGTAGCAGCACACTGTGTGGGTTTATATATACACATACCAAGCTGTTCTCTTTCTGGCCTACTTTGACTGAAAACATGCTTTACAGCCTGCCGAGCTCGACGTCCGAGCACCTTGACCCTCTTCAAGGGAGAAATGTTCCTGAGAACAAGACATTTAGAGTTTTTAATCATAAGTTAAAATGACACTCAACAAAAATAGAACAGACTACTTCTTTGAGGCTGTATTAGTCTGACAACCTTTGAAATTACGACCTATACTGCAACCAGCCACCAGGGGGCGATCACGATGTTTTGGCTTCATTTTTGTAGGGAAGCTGCCATGTCGTTGGCCGTCACCATCTTGGCTTTTTGCAAAATGGACCATAATTTACTAAATGAACATCATGATGTATTGAAGAAGACTTGAAACTAGAGATTGAGACCATAAACTCATGTTTACAATGTTTACTGAGGTAATAAATCAAGAGAGAAGTAGAGTCATTTTCTCATAGACTTCTATACAACCAGAGGAGTGGCAGTAGAGAGATGGTCAGTAGAGAGAAATTAATGTTTAAGACACTGTCATTGTTTTTCCTCCTCTTCGGCTTTGACCTCCCGCTGCTCCTCTCAGGTTGGGGTCAGCTGCAATGGTGTCACAACCAGCAGGACTGTCATCCAACCCACATAGACTCACCTTTATCTTGTCCTCAATTGTCCTCATCCTCTCTCCGTTCGTCATTTCTTTTCTTCGGTCTCTTCCTGCTCTCCCCTTTGAATGTTACTTCTCCCCTCTGTCTCCTCTCTTCGCCATCCTTTCTTCTTCTCCTCAGGGCTTTGACAGCGACTGTAACGGCGTGTCCTCCACCATGTTGGTCTCTCAGGACTACTCGGCGCTCAAAGAGAACGAGATCTGCGTCAGTCAGGGAGAGACGGTCCAAATCCTGGCCACCAATCAGCAGAACATGTACCTCGTTTACCGGCCAGCCAACAGCCAGTCGCCGGCCGCAGAGGGCTGGGTGCCGGGAAACATCCTGGGCCCGCTCACAAAGCCCATAAAAGACTCTTCTTCCACTTCCTCCTTCCCGGCGGCGGTGGCCGATGCTAACAACATCAAGTAAGTCCCCCCCCCCCCCACCCAGCAGTTCTTTACCTGCAGACAGACGCACTTCTGGTTGGGCTTCAAACCAAGCACTTGGATTGGAGGAGAGATTTGAAGTGACAAACTCTGGCCTACCCATTTTTTTCAGTTTTTTTGTTTGTTTTTTAGAACCAGCTCCAATTCCTAACTCCTCCCTCCCTCATATACTCCCCTCCTACCCCTCACTTTAAAAACGAACTTTGGATCTCACAGGAGACTTCTTTTCTTTTTTCTTTTAACTCCTGACTTTGTCTCGTCGCTCCTCGGAGGTAAAATGTACAGAACTGTTCTCTTACGGTGCGTCAAGCTGCTGCAGTGACCGTTTTATTTCTCAGCCCTCGTCTCTTGACGGTTCTGTGGCGACGACATGAATATGGATTTCAGGTTTGCAACCGAGCTTAAACACACACACACACATACACACACACACACACACTGATACCTTTCCAATCGAGTACTGAGGATTTATCCCACAGAAATAGACTGGATAGAAAATCTTGTAACTTGTAGCTGACTCTGGATATCAGAGAGAGAAAACCATTGACACTCATGTGGAGCTAAAACCGGACTCTTATTTCAGTTCCTAACACCCTGCTTTTTCTTTTTTTTCTTTTTGTATATTTTTTGTTCTTTTTGCTGTTTTTTGAAAAGAAAAAAAAAACTCACCTGGGGCATTCAGGTGGACTCCGCCCCGTTCTCCGCAGTGGAGAAGATTTATTTTGTTGTCTGTGGCAATTTATACACAAGTTTGTTTATTCCTCTTGTTGTTGTTGTTGTTTCTGCCTTGTTAATTATTATTTTATTTTACACACAAAGTGGGATTTTGTTTCCTCCTTCCAGTTGATTTTGTTTATTATGTCGGCAGTTCACTGTACAAAGTTTTTTGTTTTGTTTTTCGACCGAGGCTCTAGAACATTCCTGTTTAAAAAAAAAAAGACAAAAAATCCCTTTTGCACTATTTAAGATAAGAAAAAATATGAATGAAGTCAGGCTGTGCAATATGTTGCGTTTAATGGCAACGGTCAGCATTGTACTGTTGGTAGTCTAATACTAATGATTTTAAATGTATTTTAAATATGTAAAATAAACCATTTGGACTTGAGCATGAGTTAGCAAAGCGACGTGAAGGTGAAGTTGTTTTGTTCTGCGGTAGGCTGAAGATGATTGTAGTTTTTAAAATTTGTAAATAAACTACAACAGCAAACGTTAAACTGAGCGGTCTGCCTGCTTCTGTGTGCACTTTCATACTATTAGATGGAGCTTCTCTATTTAAAGGGCCAGCGTGAAGCATTTTGGGGGACCTATTTGCGTTTGTATAACTGTTTTCATTAGTGTGTTACCACTTCATATCTAAATAAGAAGTAGGTCCTCTTCACGGAGTCCGCCATCTTGTGCTGCCATGTGCTACGGTAGCCCAGAACAGACATACCAAACACTGGCTTTAGAGAGCCTTTTTGCATTTTTATTTTTTGTTGCCTGAGGGCCACCGTAGTTCTCCGACACGCTTGTGAAACTGTGAGCCCCAGAGTGCGAAACCGTGGTACCGCCAGTCTTGGAAAGGGAGGAGCAAGCGGAGGGGTTTTCAGTTGGTTGCAATTTGCAACCACACCGCTAGATACAACCAAATCCTACACACTGGCCCTTTAAGACGAAAGAGAGAGATTTAGGAGTAAGGGGACAAAAGGTGTTTTTTTTAAATTGTCAATTATTAAAGTTATATTTTATTCAAGGTAATGTTCTCTATCAAGGATCCTCTTCAGGAAATTAGACTGAAAGTGAATAGATTAATTATTATTTAAGAAATCATTTATTTTAAGTGTAACAGCACTGTACACTAGAGCAACAATTACACACCTTTTCCCTGTATGTTTAATTTCAGATTTTTGTATTTGTTGTTATTGTAGTGACATTTCTTTTAACTTTGTTTGTTTCAGTTTTTACTAACATCAACGGTTTGACACTCCACAGAAGGTACAAACTTGAAATATAACTTCAAAAAGTTTTGAAAAGGTGAGAAATTAAAGGAAAAAAAACAGCTGCATTTTGCTTTAATGTCAGTTTTTCAAAAACAAAGGAACATTTATTTTTATTTTTTTGAACATTGAATTTTCACGAGTCTACAGGAGACACAAGTGTGTTGAACTGCAGGTGTGATTCTTGATGAACATGTGTTGTCTCCGTTTGTGTGTTGGATGAAGGTACAGTACGTTACTGTTTCTCTCTCGTCTCGTTGTTGCTCTCTCCTCCAATCTAACTTTATTTCCGTCTCAATAAAGACTGACCAGTGTCCTTCTGTCCCTCTGTCCTTCCTCTCCTGTATCTTAATGGACCAGAAGAGTCTGGCTGCAGCTTCAGGCTACAGCAACCCCGTCAGGACCCTCTGCTACAACACACACACACACTTAGACTGTACAGACAGACTGACAAACATAATGGCAACAGAGGAAACTATGGAGGCCAGAGGGTGCCGAAAATATTATACAATGAACCATTCATTCAAAAACTCTAGCAGCAAGTTATTTTTTAATTAAGCAGTACCTCTTAATGTGAACCGACTGTTGTCATTTCATAACTATAAAAAATTTGAAATGAGAATATATCGTAATAGATAATATTTTAAAACATTTGTTAAAGAGAAATTTTTGGAAGGATCCTGTCCCAAGCTTTTTAATTACAATTAGCGGTTTCCACTGTAATTATAAAAAAGTTTAACATTTAGGTGCAGAAATAAGCTTCCATATGTCTGTAAGGCTAGTTAGTAGAGCTTGGTTGTATTGTGTTGTAGCCTTTAACAAAAAAAATGTTAAACTGAGTAGCTGTGTTACCTTACTAGCATATTAAAGTTATGTTTGCTAGCATGTTAGGCTACCATCTTGGTGAGATAATAACAGTGTAACTAATTTCATTTAGCTATTCCAGGGTGCTGTTATTGTGCCCAACTTACTTGGACATCTAAACCATTTATATTATTAGATACACCTGTGTTTTTCAGGTCTTTATTATTTTGTGTGTGTAAATACAATGAAAATACAAAGATGAGAAGTGGGGCAGAATAGAAATGAATGCATAAGAGGTATTAAACTCACAAAACATGACATGTAGCATTCCTCTCAGCCACTTGATAGCTACAGAGGGTCCTTAGGAAGTCTGGACGGCCATGTTGCCTCTGCAGCCAGACTTAGATGGACACCGCTGAGCTTCTCTCTGATTGGCTGGTTGATGTTTCTCGTTCCTGTACCGAACAGGAAGTCTCTGTCGTGGAACACACTGCGTGCCCGGAAGCGCGCTGAAGCCAAGGACGCCTCCTCGTTTGGGGTCAGAGGTCCGGAGAACGGCCTCCTCCGTAAGCCCAAAGAAAGCACGCCCCCTCCCCCTCTCGCCTCCCCAGCCACCAGGCCAAAGGGCAAAGTGAGTAAAGCAGGCCGACGGCGCACGCTGGTGATGTCATATGTGTGTGCCGAAACCCCCTCACCTGCCCCACTTGTTTTTTTTTTTTTTTTCTTAACCCGTGTGTGTATGCACGCATGTGTGTGCGCGCGCAAACCTGCAAACACACAGTAGTTTCTGTGTCTTTATTTGAATTCAGCGGTGGTTCTCAACCTGCAGCTGACATGAATTCAAACTGTTATTTACTGTGCTGCTGGGTTCAGTACATTTTGTATTTATGGTTCAGGTTATGGGCAAAAGCACTGACTGGCCAGCCAAACCACAACTTAAGGTTTAGGTGTAACTTTAAAATAAATTAGCCACGTTTGTATCCAATATATCTATTTATTTGTATTGATCTATTTATTTTGTTATGTGTACTATGGCTTCATTTCCTATTGAGACCAAAAAATGGCACAACAAAATGTATTTGGTCCTGGAAGTTTGGTGACTTAGTGACAACTTTTGGGGCTCGTTAGCAAGCTGCTGTGAGCGACAAGCTAACGGGTAACATGCTACCTCACGGTTAATGTACACAATAGCCTGCCATGCTAGTCCGCTTGCTAACTGGCGAGAACTATCAAGTTAGCCAGTACAACCTTGATGATTGGCACAATCGAGATGGGTACAGTAGCAATTTACCCTTCTCTAAGCCCCGCCCCCAGTGCTTCTCCATCAAGCTGTCAGTGTTACCACAGAGCCCACACTGTCACTAACTGCGCTCCCTGCATAAAAAATACAAAAAAGCAGAGCTAATCAAAAGATTAGACGGTTGAGAACCATTAAACAAGAACACGGCAAGTTTCATTTTAATCATTTTTGTTTTACCCCAAACCCTCAAATGCACTGATTGGAAAATAAAGTGATTTATTTTTGTGTTTTTGAGTTGTGATTTATTTATCCCTCCTTGTGCATGGATAGATAGAGGTAGAATCCACTGCATTATTAATTAAAATTTGATTTGAAATTAGTTTTTTGTTTGCTGTGCTAACCAGTGTTTTCTGTAGTGGACTAACATGGTGGAGCTCTGGAGTGTTCTGTGTGTTTATGACGGTCATGGTGTTGTTTCAGTCACATGATGTAGGATTATATGATAGTTGCTGTTTCAAAGTTAAAACACTTGGATGCTAAATGCACAACCTTTTTCTCGATCTTTTGCTTTTTATACCCCCTGTTTATATGAAAAACATTTCAATAACTGACTGTCAATGAGACAAGCTCAGATAATGGTGACAGTCAGATTTACATATGCAGCTTTGAGTCATCTTTGGTTTTAGTATCTGTTCCAATTATTTGTATCAACAAAAGAAATGCAATGAATGATAAAATGTATCGTGCTGAGTGCAATACAAACATTTAGCTAGAGATCCTAGACTGTATGCTGTATTGTAGATAGGATCTGGTGCAACAATATATTTGTTTTTTTAAAGCTTCTTGCAGCCATTTTTGTAATTTAATGAATCCCAAAAATGTTATTCTGGTGGAGGGTGAGATGAGCAAGCAAGCATAGCTGAGACACCTGTCGGCCAAGCAAACACCCAGAAACCACCATTAAAATAGTTCTGGAAATCTTCTTCCTTTCCTCTTCCTCTGCTCTTTCCTCACTGTCTCCCTTGGAGTTTTCTCCATTCTCAATTTACCCCCTTTTCCCTCATTATTTCCTCTCCGATTATCCCCTTGTTCTTCTCTTCCTTTTACACAATTCCTTCTCTCTTCCTTGCGTCCTTTTACTCGTCCCTTATTCCCTACCCTCTTTAAATCCCACATCTTTCCCATTTTTTTTACTTTCCTCTTGACTTCCTCCTACACTCCACCAGGACGTTCACACTTCAGATGAGTCGGACTGTGACGATGACCTTGACCCAAAAACAGGCATGGAGGTACGCGCACACTATCATTTATTTAAAGGACTTGCATGGAGTTACAGATTATTTTTCCTTGGAAAACATCTGAAGCAAGTGGACAGATTTTAAATCTTAGTATCGACAGAAAAGACACAACTACAGTATTATGTTTCAAATATAACAAAGATTGTATATTATGTTAAACTAAACCTCAGCTAGACATTTAACATTGACCTTGTCTGTTTTCCAGCTTCTCAACCCAAATTTCATCCAGGAAGGTAAGAGACACATGTGGTCATCTGAGTCTGACTATCATCAAATACACGTTTTAGATTCAGACAATGCAGTTTTTGTTAGTTTCTTTGTGATAGGTGTGCATTTCTTTTTTTTAAATCTTGTAATACCTTTTTTGTCCACTAGAGGCTGAAGTGAACAATGATCCTAAATGTTCTAATTAGAACTAAAATCATTCATGTTTTATTCCAGGTGAGTTTTCGGTTACATGACCTGCTAAAACACAATATATGCACCTTGTGTTTAAACCCACCTGGAAGAAAACATGAATGATTTTAGTCCTGTTTAGAGCATGTGGTATTCTTGCACCTCACTCTCTTGTATTAGTGGTTCCTGCACACACCTCACCAGCTGCAGAGCATACATAAAACTTAAGATCGGGTCGGCTGCATGCCTGCTTGATATATTATTCTGAACATCAGAATCAGCCCGATGCACTGGTCTGATTCCCAAATCTGGGCTGTTTACTAGTCCCAAGTCCTCATCCCCAATGACTATCCAAACATGGCAGCCATTTCACCCAAAGCAGGATGACATTTTAAACAATCTAGTGCCAGACAGCCTGCCAGAATTAGGAATGACTTTGCTGGTTATCTGTTGTGCCTAAATGCCACCACAAAGTTGAGGTCTGCTGGTACAAAATGATAGGAATGAATGAATGAAGCTAGAGGGCCACACTGTTTTCAAACCCCCTACAGCCACATCATGACCCGATGAAGATAATTTGCTCCCAATCTGAAGTACACATTTAGAAATATATACAGTATATTCCCTGATTTATGCGTAAGGTTCTTTAAAACTAGAAATTGGAGTATTTAGTGATGTCTTTTCCTACGTGCAGTGGCTCCAGAGTTCCTCGTTGCTCTGTCAGACGTGGTGTGTGCTTTCGGGGAGACTGTGGTCCTCTGCTGTAAAGTCTGTGGACGACCCAAACCCTCCATCACCCTGAAGGGCCCCGACCAGAACACAGTGACCAGCAACAACCGCTTCACCATCGACATCAGGTAACGGCAAGTGCACGTCTGTGAACTCTCCTTCGTTCTGTAGTCGCTCTAATTCCTACACTTAACTATTATGTCCGTCCTGCTTCCCTGATTTCTTCCCATCATCTTCTCCTGCTTTCTACTATTTTTGAATCCTATTTGTTGTTTTCTCCCTTTCCTCTTTCTTTCCTTCAAATTCCTACTCCTCCCTTTCTTCTCCTCCCTCTTCTTCAACCCCTTCTTCTTCCTCCTCCTCTCCAGGGATACAGGCGACATCTTGTTGAAGATCTGTAACCTGATGCCTCAGGACACTGGCATCTACACCTGCGTGGCCGTTAACGACCACGGCTCTGCCTCCTCATCCGCCTCCATTAAAGTGCAAGGTAACTGTCATGATTTAAAAGGAGCTTTTCACCTTTATCAAATGGTAACTTTAGTCAGCACTTGACTAATAATGAGTCAAGGAAGATTTTAGTTTTTTGGAATAGTTTAAAAAAAACTTTCATATCAAAAAGAGTTGATTTCAGTCAAAACCAGTGGTTTGCTCACCATTGTGTGTGTGTGTGTGTGTGTTTTTCACCCCATCTCCTGCAGGTATCCCAGCAGCCCCTGGGAGACCAGTGGCCCAGGAGGCCAGCAGCACGGCGGTGATGATCCACTGGGTGCCTCCGGCTTCATCCGCTCACTGTTCCGTCAGCAGCTACACTGTGGAGTACAGGCAGGAAGGTGTGTGTGTGTGGGACCAGTTGGATTTATTATTTTTTTATATGCAAAGAGATTAAAGGTATAATATGTAGATTTACGGCATTAAAATGTCTGAAAATGACAAAACCTACATGTTGTTTAGTTGTGTATATCCCAAATGTTTTTCTAACCCAGAGAAATCTGTACTTTTAATCAAGGTAACATGTCAGATCCCCTTACTGCACGCATCAGCGTCGTTGATGCAGGTCTGAAACGGCCATGAATTGACTTATTGTCCAGTTTTAAACCCTTGGCTGCAGAAACCTACAGATTACGTGTTTAAACCATTTCACCTCTCTCGCCCTCAGACTCATTGCTCTGGCAGCAGGTGGCCAGCAGCAGAGAGGAGTGTGTTCAGATCGACGCTCTGATCCCCGGAGGTCACTATCAGTTCAGGGTGCGAGCCTCCAACCGCTGGGGGATCGGCCCGCCGACCGAGCCCTCAAATATGATCACACTGCCCAGCAGCAGTAAGTCTATACGCACGCACACACACACACCATGTTTTCATGGTTTATGGGATCATTACATTGACTAACATTAACCCTACCCTAACTCCTACCAGCCTAATCATAATCCTAACTCTTACCCTAACTTTAAACCAAGTCTTGACACTAAAATGTAATGATGTGCAATATGTCCCCTTAAGGAAGGCGAGTCCCCACAATGTGACTGTGTAAAGCGATTTATGTCCCCACAAGCCATGAAAACACACACACACACACACACACAGTTCCATAAAGTGAGCACAAAACCTGTTTTTCCTCAGAGAACATCTTCAAATGAATAGCAAAACATTGTATTTGTTGCCATTTTTACAAGAGTGAATGATGGATATTAACCTGATGTCTTTGTATTAAGGACATGGTTAGCTTAGCTTAGCATAAAGGCTGGAAACGTGGGGGGGGGGGGGGGGGCAGCCCGTCTGGCCCTTTCCAAAGTCTAATGGTACAGAAATATAAAAACTAAATGTTTGACTTCAGGGAGGATTACACGTTTAGTTTAACAGTGTCAGGCTAGCTGTTTTACTGTGGTTTTGTAGTATTTTTGCTAAGCTAGGCTAACCGTGTCCTGATTCTAGCGCTGTACTTAATGCAAAGAGATTGATCTTCTCACAATGTTAAACTATTTCTATTTTTACAGCCAATGCTGATTTTCAATGTATTGCCACATTACACTGTCTAAATCTTAATAATACAAACTATTTATGGATCAAAGCAGCTTACAGTAAAGCCATATCCACAGTTTATCAAACTAAAAGTCTAAATTCCTGCTAAACCCTAGAGGAAAGTGTGGGACAGAAAAAATGACATACTAATGTTGTAGAGAGGGCGGCACAAGAGAAAAGCTCATGTAGTGTTGAAAACTAAAAGCGTTTACTACTTCAATCCTCTTCTCTTTCTCTGTCCAGACTCTGGGTTCGATGGAACTGGGATCCAGTGGAAAGAAAACTTTGAGTCTACCTTCTCTGAGATCTGTGAGATTGGAAGGTACCCAGTCGCAAATTACCGAGTTTCACAACCCAAACTTGATTTTCAGCTCAGGTGATAGGTTTTTATGTGTGTTTTTTTTAATTAAACCTCTCTTGTCTTTGTTTGTGTCATCAGGGGACGATTTTCGGTGGTGAGAAAATGTCTCAACAAGTCTACAAAGAAAGAGGTAGGGCACCCCCGACAGAATGACTTATTATTATTATTAGAGGTATTGCTTTTCACTGGTCAGGTAAATGTTTAGGTGTTTTGAGTTATGATAAGTCGATTTCTGTGTTCTTCTTTTCAGCCATGTTGAAATTCAAGATTATAATGAAGTTTTTTTTTTTCAGTTTAAATAAAGTTATAGTGATTCTATTTCTTTTAGGTTACAATTAAATGTGATTTTGATATATCATAGGTGGAAATTTAGACTGCAGTTTGGTCTATTTTGGGGTTTCCAGATGCACGTAGGATTTTGTTTTAAAATTGCAGTAAAGTATACGTTATTAACAGAATATTAGTGTTCATTTTCAGATGCTTTGAGATCATTTAAAGGTACAGCGTGTAGTGACGTCTAGCAGTAAGATTTGCGATTGTAACCAACTGAATACTTATTCTGTTCAGGTTGCGGTTAAGTTCGTGAGTAAGAAGATGCAGAAGAAGGAGCAGGTGGCTCATGAGGCGGACGTCCTCCAACGCGTACAGCATCACCAGCTGGTGGCGCTGCTGGACACATACGAGTCTCCCACCTCTCTGATGCTGATCCTGGAGCAGTAAGTCTGACTGAATTACAGGAGCTCACGTTTTAAAAACAAGTTTGTGTTGTTGCTGTGTTTTCCCAACACTGTTTACCTGACACTTTGCCCGGTAGGCCCATTCAGCAATCCACTCATGAAACTAGCCAGGAGGCTACATAACAGTATCTTTTGTACCACTTACATTATTTTCGCCACAATGATAGACAGCTGATCAGATATTTTAATAAAGATGGCTGGCTGGGAAGATGACAATATCTAAGATGTATCTAAATGTTACGTTGTTTGTGTTTGTGTGTGTCAGGCTGGAGGACGGTCGTTTGCTCGACTACCTCGTCGCCCACGATGAGCTGATGGAGGAGAAGGTGGCCTTCTTCATCAGAGAGACACTAGAGGCCCTGCAGCACCTTCATACCTGCAGAGTGGTACACCTGGATCTCAAGGTGAGAAGTGTGTGTGTGTGTGTGTGTGTGTGTGTGTGTGTGTGGTACATGAATATAGGTCTGACTTGACCTATAAATTATTTTTATTCTTATTAATGAACATTTGTGTCTTGTAAATGTGTTCCATTATCTGCCGAGGCTGACGGTTACATTGTGAAATTTGGGAAATGCAATTTCTAACTTTTTGTAATTTTCTAATGAATCCTCATCTGATTCTGAATCTGTTTCTCTCTCCTGCAGCCTGAGAACATCATGGTGGACCTCCACTCTCCCACCCCGGGCATTAAGCTCATCGACCTCGGCGACGCCGTCCAGCTGTCTGCCCAGCGCCGGTACGTCCACCTCCTGCTCGGGAATCCGGAGTTCGCTGCACCTGAGCTCATCCGCGGGACGCCGGTCTCCGTCGCGACGGACGTGTGGAGCGTCGGCGTGCTGGCCTACGTGATGGTCAGCGGCGTGTCCCCGTTTCTGGACGAGTCGCCGGAGGAGACCTGCGTCAACATCTGCCGCCTGGACTTCTGCTTCCCGGACGAATACTTCGGCGACGTGACCCAGGCGGCGAGGGATTTTGTGTCCTCGGTGCTGCAGCAGGATCCCAGGAAGAGGCCGAGCGCCACTTCCTGTCTGCAGCACCCGTGGGTGGGCCGCGGGGGTGCACACGGCGGGGAGTACTCCAAGACGCCCCTGGACACGACACGATTAGCCACATTTATTGACCGAAGGAGACAGCTGCACGACGTTCGGCCCGTCACTAATATCAAAGGGCTGGTGAGCAGCAGCATGGGCAACACGCTGTGACGGAGAGGAGCTCTGAGCGTCAACAACAATCCATCTGTGACCACCAGGGCACCCACAATAACACTACTGTATATTTGAAGCATTTAATTATCTTTAGTATTTATTAACGTGTGAGTGGGGAAGAGATGCGTTGCCTAAATCCTTCCTGTGAGAGATTTAGTTCTTGACAAAGGACCACTTAAAACTTAAAAGCAGATGTAATTATTGAAATGTATGGTTGTATGATATTTAATTACTGACTAACACATTCATTTGATCTTTGTTCACCCAGTAACAACCATTACATGTGAAACGGGTCCCACAAACAACCTAAAACACCCCGACAGAACCCAAAGAAATCACCTCAAAGTTGAGGAAATTAGCATTTAGAAAACACACTGTGAGCAGGCTTAATGTCAATATATTAGTTTATATTTGTAATGTTTATTTTTCCAGGGACAGATGATATATTGGAGGCAAGAGACCATTGTGTTGAGGTGGTCATTTTATTAGACCTGTTGCTCAGGAGCACTGGGGCAGCACTGAGTCCGGCAGGGATTTGCGTCACTGAGGAGGCATTTACAACCCATGCTCTGCTAACATGCTTCAGCTAACATATGTGAACATGTTAAAAAAAGCTTCTGAGAGATTTTGACAGTGACATTTTGCCTGACCTGTGACCCCATAGGGTTGGTCAGAAGCAAACATGGCAATTCACTGAAACAAAACCGCTGACGATGTCTGTGATCTGATTTAGTGTCACGGGAAGCTCTCATGGAGGATTAAAGCTGCAGTGTGTAGGATATGGCGACATCTAGAGGTGAGGTTGCAGATTGTATTCAACTGAAACCAGACGTGTAGGAGAACTACTGTGGCCGGCGCAAAAATTTAGTTTGACCGTTCTGGGCTACCGTAGAAACATGGCGGACTCAGTGAACAGGACCCGCTCCCTATGCAAATATCAAAGGCTCATTCTAAGGTAACAAACGCTTAACGATTCTTAGTTTCAGGTGATTACACACTGGAGTAAACATATTTATATTTGACTTCTGCTAACAGATAAACGTAAATGCCACACAATGCTCCTTTAAAGAGTCTAAACTGTTTCAAAAGGAATCTGAAGGATCATAACTAATATCAGAGGAGTTGGTAAATGTCGGTTTAGTTGCTGTTCTTATCCTGGGTCAATGTCTTGATAAAGAACGCTTTGACTTGGACTGTCACTACGTATCACTTTTCAGCAGAGCTATCGGAAATCTTGTAGAAAACTTCATGAATGAAATTTAGGTGAAACAAGCAGGTTTTTCACTCTATTGTGGATGTTTCTAGTAGTAATGGTGTTGAGTGTGTGGTGGAAAGTTTCTACATTCTTCTTGTTTGTCAAAATCTCTTGTGGGGAATCGTCTCTACAGAGTAAAATATTAAAAATAGCAGACGGCAGAAAAAACAACTGGATTTAAAAAGGATATTTAACTCTTCCTGCATAACAGACTACCTGTACATTAACAACTGTGGCTGCCATTTAAACCACCAACATTGGAAAGCTTCTTCAAAAGACTGGATGCAACAGCGTTGAACATTGCTATGATATACCTTTAATTTATTATGTTTATTTATTTCAGGACTTATGTTGGGAGTGAAATTTTCAGTGTTGACCCGGAGCAGCCTGGCCTTCGCTGAAGTAGAGTTGATGAGTAAAGCGAAGCCACTAAACAGCTGCTGGACTGTGCAGCGGCAGCGTTTACGCTGTGAATAGTATTGTGAAAAACTGCTGGAGCTCACATCAAATCACTGACTGACTTAAACGGAGCCGTGCCGTCATGAACTCAAATGAACTGGGTTAAAATGGGCAGTTGTAGCCGGAAGCATCTCTACGTGGAAGGTGGAAAAAAACTACATCACTGACTAACCGCGTAGAGCAAACAAAGGACTACTGGACCTTACACAGGAACACAGAGAAGACATGGAGACTGGAACCCTACAATGTGTTCGTTTCACTGTTTACAACAAAAAAAGTAGAATAATCAGGGAAAACCTGCATGTAAATTCACCAGGGACGGTTCAGAAATCAGGTCAGAAATCTGGTTCTTGATTTAAAAAAACCTGTGACATTTGGTGTTGAGGTGGGAAATGAACTCCGCCCTGATACTTTGCTTCTGTTTGTACATTTGTCTACCAGCCACTGTGTCAAGTAACCAACCATAGTGTTTGGGTTCATTTACCTTATAAAAAACAAGTTAATGTGGCTGCTGAGTCGGTCTTGGATTTAGACAGAAGTCTTGTTTCTACTGATGAATGTACAAAAAAAAATGTAGAATGTGTTCTGCCATCACAAGTGCTGTCCTCTGCTTTCACAGTGCCCCCCTTTCTGACCATTTTGCATCCCCCGCCCGTGAGCCTTTAGTGTACTGCAATAGTAAGCATTTATTTTCATGCAGCCGGGGATGCAGAATGGTGCAAATGTAAGCAAGCCACAGTTCTGTAGAAGCGACTTTCACCTTTGTCTAGTACAACAACCTCCATGCAAGTCTAGGGCTGGGTATCGGTCCGAAATAACCCAGTACCAAGTAGTACCGGAACTACCTGCATTTGTTCCTTTTTGGAGCCAGATCTGGAAAAAAAGTACATATTTGAAGTGAGCAAATGTATGTAAATGAGAACCAAAAGCAAAATTCAGTCGCAGTTTGAGGTCGCTTAACAGGCAACGGGTCCGTCTCTGCTGGTTTCCTTTTTCCTTTAAAAGGGCCGGAGTCCTTCAGTTACTCTTTTCATTTACATTTCAACTGAAGTGAAATCTGTTCTCTGCATTCTAGTATTTCAGCCTAGCACTCAGGGTCTTCATGAGGTGCAAAATACATCATATTTCAACAAAACAGCAGAATATTTCAGCTTCCCTGAGGCCTGTATTTCTGTCTCATTAGAATCATTAATAGTTTCCCGTAAAGACGGCCGTTTCCATCTGCGACTTCTGATGTGAGATCTTTCTAAAATTCCAGTCTGCCCATCTGGTAACGGAAATATAAAAAAGTGAAGCAGTAGTAGTGTACAGTATGTAAAGTACTAGCTCTGTCTGAAGCCAGTACAGCTTCAGTTGTTCTTTTAACCCGGGTTGGACCCTGAACAGCAGCAGAGGTCTGGTTTCTCTCTGAAGAACAGAGCTGATCTGTTGCTCGTCTAACATGAAATCTTTGGTCAACAAGTCAAATTTTAGTGATGTTTCACTTAGACTGGACGAGACATTATATTCACATTTTGTCTTTAAGGTTAGGGAATATTTCAAAATGACAATATCTTTAGTGTGGCTGAATTTAGGCCTAATTCACACCCGTGTTTCATGTGTTTTCAGCAGGTGGATCATATTGAAGTACAAAATGTGACCACAAACGGTGAAGTAGCTTAGCTCTTTAACGTAACAAAGTACCTAAAGTTGTATCAAATAAAGTGGAGTAAAGGAAATGAAAACACGTAAAGTCACATAAAAACACAAGTACGCTGCAGTCAGGTGTCCCTGCTGTATCATTAAACCTAATCAAACGTTTTACGTTCTCAACACTCTGAAACAATCCCACAATGCATCTGCCATGGCTCGGTGAGCCGCGTAGCGCCGTGGCGGCTCCCCTCCCCCCCCCACCCTGTTGAATGCTAATCCTTGTGCTGTATCCCGCTGCGTGTTCATGCTGAGCTCCGTCCATAACCTTATGCTGATGGCTTGGTGTTGCTGTGTGAAAGCAGCACCCTTCTGTATAGGCTGCCTGTTCTTACTCCGTACAACCTGCTGGTTTGTTACTCTTTGCTAATAAAGAACCTGCTTGTTTGTAGTTTGTCTTTGTGTTTGTCTGCACCGGGTGGTGCCATAACATTTTAGAAATGTCAATGTTACACTGGGTGGAAGCACCGGCATCGTAGTTCTTAACCGCTTGAAATTATTACTTGATTTATGTATTGATTCAGCATCTTCAGAATACCATGTGAATCATACCACAGACCAGCAAAATCTCCGATGTTAATCTTTTTGTAACTTTTAGCCGAATGAATGAGTTAAAAGATTATAGAAAAGCTAAATACATTCACATGTCCCGAACATTTGAAAGCTGCAAATAAGCCTCTGGTTCATAGAGGTTTGAAGAGAAACGGTGTAGTAGATCATAATAAAAACCCTAAAAATCAAACTTATTTCAGGTGCCCACCTAGATAAAGCTATGGTGAGACAGGAGGCCGAGTTTATGTGGAGGAGAACCTTTAAATTATAATATATAATATTTAATACCATACCGGGAGTACAGAACTCTAAAACGTCAGGAAATGTATATGAAATAAAAACTACATATTTAATTGCAAGATGGACGTAATTGTCAAATTTTTTTTTTTTTTTTAGAAAATATTCCGTCAGAAAGTGTTTATTTTTTCTTTCTGCAGGTTTCAGAGCAGCGAAACAAGTAAAGAGAGAAATGAAACCACGCGTGAGTGTTGTAGAAACACAGTTCAACCTTTTCTAAAACACATTTTCAGACTCGGTCAACACAATGTTTTGAAGCTTGTTTGTCAAAACACTTGACCTCGTAGCCTAAAATATAGATGTACAGTGTTTACATTTTCATTTCATATTCCAGCTGTAGTTTTTCAATCTTACAACAGTCTTCTCACCACCTTCTGTTCATCATAGTTATTTTTTCTGCTTATCTTTTAATAACCCCCACTCTATCTCACTCACTCTCTCACACACACACACACACACACACACACACACACACACTGCCCTGCTCATTGCTCAAAACAAAATGCTGACCACAGCTACTTTATACTGAAAGCTCAAAACACAACAGAAATGTGTGTGTGTGTGTGTGCCCCCGTTCACAGCAGGTTTAAACACTCAGGCACTAATACGGCTCCCGGTAATGAAATGTCTGCAGGTAATCCTGTAACCAGGATGTAAACGTTTGGTTTTATAGTGTTTCTGCTGCTGAGGGAAGACGTGTTTTGGATCAGATGGCAGACGTCACCATGAAGATTGGAAGAGGAGCAACAAGACGAGTCGTGAATGTTGAGGTGAGTTAAATTTAAGCGTTTTCTTAAAAACTTGTCTGTATATTTATTGAATAACATACACTGTGATTCACTTTTTGAAACACACAAAATAACTTCTCAGTGAAACTGAAGCCTCTTTGTGACATGATAGAAAAAAAAGCAGATTTACTTGATTTAATATATATTTTTTCAGTTTGTAAGATACAGACAGATGATGTTTTACTGCTCTTTATCAGGGGCGTCAGATCAGAAAACCCTTCAATGTGTCGTCCTTGAGAGCAGTAACAAATGAGATAATTTGGCCTTTTAATTTGGAGGACTTCAGTTTCAGAGGTTGTCTTCTGCTCTCTGGCCACAGGGGGCAGTATTGAGCCTGTAACCACTTGACAGATGAGGACTAATTGGCTGCTAAGTAGCTGCAGGTAACGTCGATACTAGTTGATTGTGGCCGTCCAGAAGTAGAATTTGTTCAAATAAAGTGAGGTGAAAATGTACCTCTAGTTCAGTCTGGGCTGTAAAAAGTACAATACAAGGAAAACAAGGGATTCATGTAAAAATACATGTAAATCAATATCAATTATAATATACATTATACATGTCTCATAGTGGGACTCTGACTTCCTCTCTCCCCGTCCAGATCCAACACCCCTCCCCTCCCTCCTCCTCCTCTCCCTTATTTGCATGGCGAGGCTTTGGGAGGAAGGTGCGACTGCTGCTGCCCTACGTCTGGCCCAAAGGCACTCCGGCGCTGCAGGGACTCGTGCTGCTGTGTGTGGGCCTGCTGGTAGCAGAGCGACTGGTCAATGTGCTGGTGCCCGTTTACTCCAAGAACATCGGTGAGCACCTGAAAACAGAGAAGGAATAAGAGACTCTGGTCCTTCTTACTTCACTAAGTGTGTAGGTTAAATCCTGTGGAAGGTAGTGAGCCAAAGATCTGCTGCATCTACCG